GAATAGCTTTACTGGCTTACTGCTAATTAAGCTGCTCTCTTAAAAGTACCTTTTATTTCCAAGATAAGAAGATAGGAATTTTAAGATAAGTACAGCTACTGATTGCTTTTTAGAAAGTAATAGTCAAATATATTGTATATTATGACATATAAAAACTCAACGTAGTAGTATCGACAGCAGTGAGTTTGGAAAATTTACATTTAACATATTTTAATTGATTATATATATATATATATATAACCATTGCTTTTATTATTGCTTTTCTGCCTTAACAAAGCAGGTTCCATAGGAACCTTAAAAATTCAAAAATAGGTGGAGATAAGGTGGCAAACAGGTGGGTCGGTTCGGATATGGGTTGGATCGAAAACGTGTAATGCAAAACGGATAAATTATCCAACTCGACCCATATTCAATACAGATAAAAAACGAGTTAACCGGCGGATAATATGGATATCCATATTATCCATGATATCTTCAATATGATCACTTTTGGGAGAATTTTTAATCCCCAAACTTGAGAAACTTATAATTTGAGGCTTTACAAATATAAACATTAAACCCATTAGTTATCCATTTAAAAAATAAATAATATAGTTCTTATCCATATTTAACCCGTTTTTAAAAAATTCATTATCGAACTTATTTTTTAATGAATAATATAGGTGGATAATTGTTTTCTTTTAACCATTTTGCCGCCACCTCGGGAGATAAGCAAATTCTTTAGCACGTGGGAAACATAACCTCGTTAATTATATTTCATAGCACTGTAAGAGTCAAAAACCTCGTCCTTCTTAGCCGCCACAGTTATTCCTACTGTTACCAAAAATGACTTGAAGACATATTTAGTTGTAGTTGACCACGTTTTGAAAATTCATCAATAAAATCAAACATGTTTGAACAATCTCCCGCAATTTCTGGGATCATTATCTTGTATAATTCTAGTCGACTGTTTTTATGTTTTGTAGGTGTGAATATTTGGGGAAAAGAAAAACAGTTTATATCAAATTATATTCGTTGTTGCTGGTTTAGTCAAACACAAGAAAGTTTTGCTCGATAGTGTTAATTGGGGGATAGGTGGACAAAGTCGGATCTAGAATTTAGACTTTATGAGTTCAGTTTTTAAGATTTTTAGCATTAATTTCATAATATGTTTAAAGTTACGGATGCACATCTATTATTTATTCCAATTTTAATGAAATTTTCTATATAAATTTATGCTCCACTTTAAAAGTACGGGTATCGCATGAACTCATTACCATATGATGGATTCGCCCATGTCGGTGGACCTTTGTTGCTCAATAAATTCAAGAACATATATGTTTTTAACCATTAATAATGTAATATGAATTTTTATATTAGTTTGTAACTCTTAAAGTTAAACTGTTTAGTTGTGGTAGACATATTACGTGCAAGTAAGTATTTTCATGGGTGAATAGTGGAAAGAAACAAAGAAAAATGATTTTTTTTTTTTTTTTTGGGTAGAATTTGAGCTTTAAATAGTGATCGATGTAGGGTGAAATAAGTCATTACTCCAATCTCATTATGATCAAATTAAACTCGTTTACTCCTTTAAATTAATTAATTTTCTTTTAATTCCAATGTTCAGTAGGAGAATTGAACAAGCGTGCACTATAGTTTTATTGGATTGGTCAAAGTAGTTGTAGCTAAAAAGCTAATGGAGTCCTGTTATAAGGATAGAGCAGATGAACAAATAATGTGTTACATAGGATAATATTAAGTAATACTTATGAAAGCAAAATTAGATTTGTCTAATTAAACTGCCTCCTTGGCTTTTAATAAAATAAAATAAAAACGAAACAACTGGCGTTACAAGTTGATGAGCCACCCAAATATTTTGGAAGAAAATAAAGATAACTAATGGAGCTTCCTAAAAGTGTAAACACAGCACTTAAAACAGACTTTTTCAAGATTCAGTCGCCTAATTAAAGCCCAAATCCAACAAACTTAGCATAAGTAGATAAGAAAGAGTCTTGATGATTTCCATGAAATTGCTTAAATGGACACTCTAATTACATCATATTAACATTTTAAGACATACATACTTGGTGATTGCCTTCCACAATTGAGGGGACGCAAAGCCGAACACATAATTTGAAATTTATGGGTTCTGAACTTGTCACGTACATGGCAGAATTTGAAATTTATGGGTTCCGAACTGGTCACCGAACCATAGTTCGTCTTAGTTATTGGGTTCATAATTATATATTTATATATATATATATATTTAATTAATTTTTTAATGCTTACATAGAATCTAATCAAAAGTTATTAGCATTCCTTCTCCCTCTCCTTCCCCTTCCCCTCCCTAATGTAATAAAAATAAAAATATAAAATTCCCCCCCAAAAAAGGAAGAATTACACAAAAATACAGTCCACCTACATACATTGCAGCAGAATAACCCAGTTACAACTTTGCAAATCTGTAGCCCAATAACAATAGGCCAACGTTTGAAAAATAAGCATTTTTTTCTTTCTTTTTTTATTCTGCAGATCTTCAAGCACGAAAATTCGGTGATTTTTTTATTCTTCTTCCCCAAGTTTGTATATATTCCTATTCCAGCTACAAAAAAGATTCAAATTCATGTATAATGCAACTTG